TTTCACCTATATTATAGTGTTTGGTTATTATTATTATTATTATTATTATTATTATTATTATTTTGTAAATACATATCCTAATTAATATATAGGGTAGCATTTTGAAGAGAATAATAAGAAATAAATATAATATTATATTATATTTTAAATAAATGTATACCCTACTTAATGCATAAGGTAGCATATTATATATATATATATATATTTCAATTATTCATTGTTGGATATATAGATTTTCTTTATACATAGGGTAGCATTTTAATTTTTTTTAATATAAATTTTATTAATTATTAATTAATAATCAAATAATTTTTATCTCATACTTTTATTATTATTGTTTTTCATCTTACTTAGTTATTTTTAATCCTTATTTAATCAAATTCATAATCCTTTAAAATTATGGTTAAAAGGTATCAACTATTATTTTAATAAAACAATCAAACTATAGTTATTCTTAATATGCAAAATCCATATGAAGTATTATAAAATAAGGGAAAGTATTTAAAAATTCTTCTTCTTCTTCTTCTTCTTCTTCTTCTTCTTCTTCTTTTACATAAGTCTTCACTAGTTCTTTTGTCACGCCCCAGAATCCAAATTCGGGGACATGGCAGATGCCGTGCACTCGTGAGGCGGGTCCCACAAGTGCACAAGGCTCAGAACTTATTCAAATCACAAAATCTCAAGAATAAAATCTACCTTACAAAAAGATGATAAAATCTAAACTTATATCCAATTAGAATGGCTAGCCTTCTACCTCATCACTCTCCTTGGTTTCTCTGTCCTCGGTTTCGCTTCTTGAAATGGTGGACAAGGAAAAACTATGAGATAACTCAATAAGTAAATATGGATAACCCTTGGGTAAAATTTTTAGCATGCATGATAAACAATTTAACATAACAAAACGTTCAATGATAACCGTTAATGCAGAATCAAATTCAGTTCAATAGCAAGGCGTTCAATGAGAAACCGTTAATGCAAAATTAGGTTCAATTCAATAACACGGTGTTCAATAACAAACCGTTAATGTAGAAGAAAATTCAGTAGTAGTTTCATCTATAGGTTATGGCCAGCGTTTATAAACCTCCCACTGGCGGGCACAGTAGTAGTACTAGTGTTTAACAACTCCCACTGGCAGGCGTCAGTAATAACCAATGTTGAACCCCATTGGCAGGGTTACAGAAGTACCAGTGTTTAACAAACTCCCACTGGCAAGCGTCAGTAATGGTACCAGTGTTTAACAAACTCCCACTGGCAAACGTCAATAATTACCAATGTATTATCCCATTGGCAGGATTACAAAATGGACCGATCATATCAGTAAACATGTCGACATGTGCTAACGTTTATAAATCTCCCACTAGCGGGCACAGTAATACATGACCATATCAGAGACAAAACCATGTAGGATTTACAAAAGAAATCCGTAATTCACAATCGAAATCCCAAATTTCAAAAATAACCAAAAAATTCCATGTGGGCATGGATTTAACAGAAAATCATAATTTACAAAAATTCTTAAATCATTAGAACAATTCAGTAAGTTCCAAATAAGCATGCTCTACTTCGGAAAAATAATGAAATTCTCATTTTTATTCCAATCTTGCTCAATTCTAGAAAATAATAATTTTCATAAAAATCATCACAATTTTCATTTCAGTTTAATCACACTCAGATGCTGATAAAATTAATTTAAAACTTGCCACCATCTCAAAAACAATTTAAAACATGCTTTAAAATCAAAAGGCTTTACCATAATTTACTTAGCTCACTCGCATAAAACCGAAGACTTGATCTCATTGCTAAACTGATAAAACGATCAAAACCTAATCACAATATTCCAAAGTTAATACCGCACTACCACAAATTCAAAGTGAAATCATCATTAGCATTACCCCTAATCACGGTGTTATTTCTATCAATCTCCACATGACCGGACATCTCCAAATTTGTTCTTATATTACAAACTAAACATTTAAATCCCCATTAATTGTTGGCTATCAGTCCGTGAACAGTGCCCATGAACTGTGCCCGTGAACAGTAACTTATCTTCCAAAAATTGGCAAAACAATAACTAATCTCACGGGATTTTTCTCCAAAATCACAACAACCCAATTCAAGCTAATTTACACTTAAACCAAGCTTAAAAACATAGTTTAAGCTACCAAAATTTCCCCATTTCTCACGGGCAGGAGAGCATGGCTTTGGCAAACCACAACTCACACACACGGGATTTTCCTACACAACATCACAACAGCCAAATCAAGCCATTTCTACATGAATTTAAGCTAAAATTATAGACTTAAATGGCTGCCGAATTTCTTCCTATTTCCACAGAATTTCGGACAATCACAGAGCATCAACTAAATGGGTAATTTCGGACTTAATGGGGCTGTCAACATACCAGAATTTCCAGCTAGCTACAGAACCGGACCTGGCGGAGGGAAGAAGCCGGCGGCAATTCTGCAGGGGGCTCACGGGCTACCAGAAATTGGAAGGAAATAAAAGCAATTAAAGTAAACCCAGCCTAAATCAAAGTTAAAGAGAGGGATTCATGGCTGAATCTTACCAGAAAAATGCCCAGAAATTCGCACCCAGCAAAACCGACGGACAGGGGAGGAAGAGCAGAGCAGAACCGGGATTTTTTCTGGGTTGAGAGAGAGAATTCTAAGCCCCAAATCTTGTGGTTAAACAAGAAAGAAGGAGAAATTTCAAGCTTTTGCCGATTTTCAAAGGAAAAGGAAGTCGGTGGCTTAGGGGGGGCTGGTCGGGGAGCAGAAGAAGAAGAGTAGGCCACGGGTCTGATGAGGAAGAAAAGAAAGAAAAAAAGAAAAGAAAAAAGCAGTGGATCCTTATCTCATTTCCTTTCTTTTAAGTCCCTCAACTTTTGACAATTTTGCTATTAAGCCCAAAACAATATTTCTTTCACACATAAGTCCCTAATTTAATGCTAAAGTTCCACCAAATTTTGGGATATTACATCTTTCTTCTATAATTATTTAACTTACAGAATTTTATTTTATAGATTTTTTCTTATCCCTTCTCTCATTCCCAACTTCCTATCATTTTTTTGTTCAAGTTTTATTCTTTAACTTATATTACAAACTGTTTTGATATATTAATATAAATGATCAAATAAAAGTGACAAAAAGAAAGCGATTTAAATGAGATTTTAATGCAATTCAATATATATTTTCAAATATATGTAGTAGTAATATTATATATATATATACAATTTAGAAGGAATGTGAAGTAGAATTTGTATTTAAAGGACTAAAAAGTTAATAATAGTATAATATGAATAAAATAAGAAACATAAAATCTTCTTGGAAAAAAAATATATCTTCATATGACTTGATCTCTATCAAATTCATATCTTTCTTATTCAGTTTAGTATTAACACTTTTATTGCACCAATTGACCTTAATCCAATGACTAAAGTTCTCTCTTTAACAAAAAAAAAAAAAAAA